GACCCTATCGATCGATATTTGCTGTTTATCAGAAACCCGCCTGCAAGGTTCGAGCTCCGGACTTACCCTGAGATCCCCCACATGCGACACTGGCGGCACATTCTCATTGCGCCTATCTGGCGATGATGCAGCTTCAAATGCCGATCAAGCTGGCGTCGGCATTGTTTTGAGTCCCCGGGCTGAAGCTGCCCTAATTGATTGGATCCCAGGAAACAGTAGGATGTGCGCCGTTAGATTAGCTGGTTCGTTCCGTGCCTCGAAGTCGCGCGGGGACAAACGTTGCCTGTTTGTCATTGCGGCCTACGCCCCTACAAACTGTAGCACTGATTCGGTAAAAGATGATTTCTACCAGCAACTTTACGAGCTCCTTCGTTACAGAAGAAGCACGGATACTGTGGTGTTGGCTGGCGATCTAAACGCCCAAGTCGGAAAATTGTCCTCTGATGAGCTTCATCTGGGCGGCCAACATGGTGTAGGCTCCCGTAATGATAATGGTGAGCGATTGCTACAGCTGTGTGAAGATGCTCGCCTGTTTCTCGCGAGCACTAACTTTCGACACAGCACCCGCAGAAGCGTGACTTGGCGGCCATCAGCCTCGGGACAGTCATGGACACAAATCGATCATATCGTGATCAGTTACCGCTGGAGAGGCTGTGTCCAAAATTGTCGCTCGATTTGGAGCACGAGCGTGGACTCTGACCACGCACTTGTCTGTGCCGACCTCCGGGTGCGTTTCGGTGGACGTCCGCGACGTCAATGTGAACGGATTGACACTAGCACGCTGGCGAAGTCAGATGTTCTGAATGTGTACCATAGTACGCTGCCATCTGGGCTGAGCAGGCGCCCACTAAACACTGTTGAAGATCACTGGCCGCATATTCGTCAAGCGTTGCTATTAGCAGGCATGTCTTCATGTGGCAAAACAAATTGCCAAACCGGACATTGGGTCTCTACACAGTCTATGGAACTTATGGATGCTCGCCGACGTATTCCGGCTGGAAGCGAACACAATGAGGCTCGCAAAAATCTCAGGGCAAAACTACGTGCTAGCCTAAAGAAGGATCGCGAAACCTGGTGGTCTCATCGTGCCTCTGACATGGAAACAGCCGCTGCCATTGGTAATCATCGTAAGTTATTCCGTCTGATACGGGCAACAGGCAGCAGGAGACCTGGTGTTAGCGAGACCATACGCGACGAGAGTGGGCAGATGATCCACAGCTTGTCGAAACGCTTGGAGCGTTGGGCTGAACACTTTGCTATGCAATTTAATTAACCTGAGTTATCGCTTTCTTCTTCGGGCATTGAGCGTCCTTCTCCTTGGGCCGTCTCCTCGGATCCGCCCTCACGCGCAGAAGTCGAACGTGAGATCACGCTGTTGAAATTGCATAAGGCCTCAGGAGCAGATAGAATCCCCCCCAGCCCTCTTCAAATTCGGGGGGCCGGCTCTAGTAGATGATCTACACGAGTTGCTAGTAAGACTTTGGGAGCAGGAGACAGTCCCGACAGACTGGAACCGCTCCGTCATTGTCCCAATTTTCAAGGGAGGCTCCCGTTTAGAATGTGGCAGTCATAGAGGGATCAGTCTGATTTCGATTGCCTCTAAATTGCTTGCCTCTCTCATTCTCCACAGACTGACTGGCACTCGTGAAAGCCAGATTCGTGAAGAGCAAGCCGGATTTCGTCAAGGTCGGGGCTGCATTGACCACATCTTCACATTGCGTCAATTGTTGGAGCACCGCCATGTTTATTGGCGACCCACCGTTGTCGTGTTTCTTGACATAAAAAGTGCCTTCGACTCAGTCGATCGATGTGCCCTTTGGGACTGTCTGTTGAGGAAAGGTGTGCCTGATAAATATGTAAACATTATCAAAGCGCTGTACGCGCATAGTTCGGGCAGGGTGAGGGTTTATGGCAAACTCTCGCCACCCTTCAGTTTCCGATGATGCAATGTCTATTCATAGACTGTTGCAAATATATATATATATATATATATATATATATATATACATATATATATATATATATATATACCCTTCAGTATCACCAGCGGTGTGAGACAAGGATGCCCGCTGTCACCTTTCCTCTTCAACTTCGCTATTGATGAAGTCATGGAAACAGCGTTCGCTGGACACGACCTAGAAGGTGTGGAGCTACTCCCTGGTGAGCGACTTCTTGACTTGGAGTATGCAGACGATATTGCCCTAATCTGTGACAGCTCCCAAACATGCCAAACAGCACTGAACCGATTAGCACTGGCTGTCAATCGTTTTGGGCTATGCTTTCCTCCATCGAAATGCAAAATACTTCTCCACGATTGGCAGGGACCCAACCCTGCGCTAACGCTTGGTGGTGATCTGCTAGAAGTCGTTCAGGAATTTAAGTACCTGGGCAGCTATATGAGCACCCGTGGGATTGAAGATGAGGTTACGAACCGCATAGCAAAAGCTCGAGGTGCTTTTGCCAATCTCCGCCACCTGTGGCGCAGACGCGACATTACTCTCGCCCTGAAAGGCAGAGTTTACAACGCAGCCGTCCGTTCTACTCTCTTATATGGCTGTGAATCCCGGCCCATCAGGTCGACAGACATGAAGAGACTCGTCACATTCGATCATCGCTGCCTTCGCAGCTTAGCTCATGTCTGGTGGGAACACCGCGTGAGCAATGAGCGTGTTCGGCGTCGCGTATTTGGTGCAGGAAGAGCGAGTGAACCGCTCAGCACGATTATATCACGCACCAGGCTCCGATGGCTGGGCCACGTGTTGCGCATGCCAGCACACCGACTCCCACGACGTGCATTGTTTGCGCGTTATGGGTGCGGTTGGAAGAGGAGGAGGGGAGGCCAAGTGATGACTTGGTCGAGAGAAATGAAAACACTCACTTCGAAGTTGGCCTCGGTTGGTGCATCCCGACTGCCTGGCTGGGGTCCTAAGGACGGTGAACACGTTTGGCTGGACACACTTGCTGATATGGCTCGGAGCCGGCCCCAATGGCGTTTGTGTTGTGAGTTCCTTTGCCCATCCCCCTCATGTTTAATATCCCCCTCCAATCACGATCTCACCTGTTAGGCATAAATATGATTCTCTTTTTTACGACAGTCAGCTGTTAGCTCTCCGGAACGATGTGCATCCGTTACTGGGGACTCAGCGAGTGTGCTACTGTTTTTCTTTTCTTTTATTTTGTATTGCGGCACAATAGCTGAGGTGTTTTCCACCTCTAGCTAACGTGTACTGATGATGATGATGATGAACCCAAAAATGTCTTCTAGTGACCAGAAGTCGTCCAAAAAGTCTCTATTTGGGACAGCCGCAGGCACAAAAGCTGTTCACTCAGGGCGCTCAAACGGTCATTTGCGCTGGCTGAAATCGATTTTCGCAAAAACTAACGCTAGTTAGGTAAAGAACGGAGGGGCTAATGATGAACTACCTTATTTGACAGCATATCTAGACAGATCACGCCATATATCTCTATATTACCCTTTTGTCTTTCCGAGTGACAAGCCCACGCCCAAATAGGACGACTGGCCGTCCATCTGCGCGGACAGAGCGCTCCACACTGAATGGAACCACTCTTTGAGCCTAGCACGACAAGGAGGACCGTGACACTCCCATTCAAGCAACGATTCACAATGTCTAGAAGTCAGCAATCTTGGTGGTGTTAGACAGGCAGGCACCTTGTCAACATGCACATCAAGCGCAGCCACAACGAGGATCCCAAACAAGCAAAAGAGCAATCGAAGGAAGAGAAATGCACCACACTGAGACGGATTTTTCAGAAGAATAACGGAACTGAGCATAGCAAATAAAGGGGAATATCTTTTATAAAAGCGATAACCTGAATAAAGAAGAAGTCAGTGTATGAATTCATATATGATGGGCGGCATCCGGTTTCGGATTTGCCTGTCACTGTGGCTAGCCACAGGAAACTTGCGCCTACAGAGGGGCCATGGGTGACTTGCGCTGCAACACCCACAGCTCCATCCACACACTCAATATCTAATGTAAACCCGAAGGAATAAGACCGGGAGGTATGCGGATGGGAGCCACGTTTCATCAACGGAGCCGGCATCACACTCCATCACAGCCAAACACAAGCAAGCTGTATTTGGGAACCAATCGCACACAATGCAGTGGCTGGACCGTGGTCCACTCCCCATTGGGTGCATGGGAACACTCTTTGATCCTAATGTGGCCTCAAGGACCGTGCACCCCGTCCCGTCTAGAAACGACCAACTGTCTCCTAGAGCCAGTATGGACGATGTAGTGGGTAAGAGACAGGTAGGCACCTTGTCAACATGTACATTAAGCGCAGTCACACCTAGGATATCAAACAACAGCCAATCACTTGAAACGACAAGATAAAATAAAATAAATCGGATAATGCATACAGATGCGGAGACATAAGCCTTCACTAAATGGGCGTATAAAACGTATTGATAAAGAACGAATCTGCAATAAGTTCAAGAGGTCAGAAAATATATTTTAAGAAAATGCCACAAACGCGAGAAGGTTATCGAAATTAACTACAATCAGTTTCAGCGACGTGTGCAAGTTAACAGAAGATAGTACAGCTCTGGGGGCCAGCTGTGTCCTCCGCATATGTATAACATGCAAGACAGTGGACGAGGAGCCGCGCTATATCGCAGTTAGATATCAGTCATGGCGGTCCGCTGCCGTCGTCCATGGTTCAGTGACATAAGTCGCTGACTCGCAAGAGTAAGGTCGTGGGTTCGAATCCAGCAGGATTCGGCGGGTGCGCGCTACTGACGAATCTCAATAGGACGAAACGGCCGTCTAGCGCTTTCCTGGATGTGTGATGGCTGTCTGCCTGTGTCTAACTGCGACGCACGTACACAAAACCTAACAAATCCCCATACAAATTACAAACAGGTAGACAATAATATGAGAAAGAAAAGCATTAGGACAAAATTAAAACCCATCACTTGAAATAAAGAGACTTAGTATGCAAGCACACGGTTAGTAAATCGAAAGCGGCGTACTTACAAACGCTGCGCCCGTTTTGTCTACGTTCGATGAAGGACCCGTCGTCGCTTCGATGGTGGTCCCGAGTAGCCTCGCTCATGACTCACAAGGCCTGCCTGACTCAGGCACTCGCGACCGCATGTTCTACAGCACCATGCGTTCGATGTGGATGGAGTACAACCCATTGGTGCTTGCCGCTTATTCTCTGCATGTAGGAGGTCTTTCTCCCGCATTTGGGCAACTGCCTTCGTGAGCAGATCGCGCCATGCACGCCGATCAACCGCCTTCGATTCCCATGACCTGCACTCAAGATTAGAACGTGAGGCTCACTTTGATCATGTCCTGGTAACGTAACTTTGGTTTCGACACATGCTGCTTCCCAATACTCAGCCGAGCATATAATGGTGGATCCGGTACCCGCGTTGAATCCATACTGCTCACATGACCGAGCCACCTCAGGTGTCTCAGCAAAAGTATGCAGTCCACTGCATACATTCCACTCTGTCGCAACACTTCCGTGTCCGCAACTCTGTCGCACCAACCCATGCGCAAAATCCGTCGCAAACGCTGCTAATGGAACCGCTCGAGATATCGCACATCCCGCCGGTATATCGTACATGTTACACTGCCGTACAGAAGAACGCACAGCACCATGGATTTGTACACCATCAGCTTCGTGCCAATGGCAAGCTGATGGTTGTTCCACATTCCGTACTCTAGCTTCCCGAATGCCGCCGCTGACTTCGACACGCGAATACGCTGCTCACTGTGTAGCTGCTGATCAGTCGACATCACACTCCCAAGGTAGCAGAGGTGGGTTATGATTTCCAATAATTCAGCACCGATGCTGATTCGCGGCAATATTAAAGATTGCACCTCCGATGAGGGCTGTAAAAGACAGACAGTTATGGTTGTGTTGATGATTAGCCTGTATTTGACCGCTGTCGAAGCCAGAGCACTAGTCATGTGCTGCAACTCATCTGTGCTGTGGGCAAACAAAGCACAGTTGTCAGCAAACAGCAACATACGGATATTTGTCTCATAGACTAAAGTTCTCGCACCGAAAAGACGGATGTTCAGCAACCCACCATCAATACCGTGCTCCACACGAACACCGTAAGCACAAACCGCAAAAACAGCACAAGTCATCATTGCATGAAGATACATAGTAAACAGGACAGGAGCTAAGACACAGCCGTGCTTCACACCAGTGACAACTGCAGTCATCCGAGGTCACTCCACTCAGGTGCAGCCTCGCAAGCATACCACTGCACAGACATTCAATTAAACTTACAAACGTACACGGGCAACCAAACATACCCAACACAAGCCACAATGCTTCGCGATACAACCGTATCAAATGCCTTAGTGAAATCAACAAAAGCGAGCACAACGGCTGGTATCGTTCTCTGCATTTCTCCTGCAACTGACGAGCCGCAAACACCATATCTATAGTGCTGCGACCTGAACGGAATCCACACTGCTCTTCCGCCACGTTAGGATCCACAACCTGACTGACGAGGCGGTTGAGCAGGATTCGGGTAATCACCTTGCCCACACAACTCAGCACGTTGATGCCACGATAATTCGTGCAACATTGCTTGCTCTCTTTACCCTTGTACAGTGGTACCATAAGGGTATCGTACAGTTCAGCAGTCACCTCCTCCTCAATCCATACGCGTTACACCAAGTACTGCGGCGCAGTCACCAACGCGGGTTCGCCGTGTTTCAATACTTCAGGTGGGATCCCGTCGGCGCCGACACACTTGCCCTTTCGCAGCTGAACAAGTGCTCCCTGAGTCTCATCCAGTGTTGCCGTGTCAGCAAGACTCGCCTTCACATCGTGCTGCTTGAGGTCGTTCAATGTACGCCAGTTGATCTCTGAACGGTTGTTCAAGAAACAGCCAAAGTGTTTTTGCCAGATTTGCATTATGTCTACAGTCTGTGTGCAGGTAGCGCATGAACTACCATCGATCAGCGTCCGCAGCGGCTCCAATCCCGGTCCATACTCCGCCTTCAATGATTCAAAGAATTTCTTGTGTTGGGGGCGTTCGGCGTAGCATTCCATCTGCTTCGTCTTCTCCGTCCACCATGCATTTTTAATGCGACGGAGCTCTCGGGTCAATCGCCGTTAAAGTTTGCGAAAATAACTATTCTTTCCTAATCACTAGGGTCTGCCACACGTGCAGCGAATGTAGTATTCTTCACCGACACCAATGCGCCAACCGTCGCATTGTTCATATCAAACTAATCAGACCGCCTACAGTTTGGATCCCGATGGTCTCCTCGGCAGCAGTTGTCACCTGGTCGCGAATGTAGTGCCACAGGTCGCCCACTGCGAGTATGCGTCCACCACACACAGCCGTGCAGCCATCGCATTCTCCAGCTCAATAAGTTTCTTCAATCAATAATTAATGCCTATTAAGATATCAGAAGCAAAACACTTGCGAAGAGAACTCTTTCCAGCAATACACTTCAGGCAAATACAATGGCAAGACAGATAAACGTGCAGGTAAGCGAACGCTGGGGAGGTGATTGGTTGAACGAGGTCGATCAATAGTCCACTCGATACAGTCAGACGTCATGAGTCGCGTGAGCACACGCGGAGACGCACACACACAAAGCACAGACGCGTGGGATGGCAGGTCTACAATGATCACTCTCAGTCGTAACCGCGATCCGACATTACGGCCACGGCAACAGTATAGATTGTATCAGTGTTCTCTGCTTGCACAAAACCGGCTGAAGTATTCTCATTGCAATGGCTTCGGCGGTGGCCAACAAGCGCTTTCTGATTCCTTTAGGGTAGCGCCTCGGTGCCGTGTAGAATATCTTGAATGCGTCATTAGTCTGAATCTGATGGTCAGTATTAAGCAGATGTTCGAGGATCGAGCTGCGGACATTCTTAACCATACCCTGTTGCAAAGACGCAGGGCATTGCTCCGCTATCCGCCTAAATAGACGCCCGGTCATATGCCCGAGGTACCTTGCACCAAAGGTGCAGGTAAAGTTATATAGAACAAAAGATTCGAAACGAGCCGGGATTCTATCTTTGAGGCGTTGCGTGATGAGCGGAACAGTTTCAGCAAATATATGAACTTTAGCAGCCGGATATGTTTTGCTCACCGCCAGCGATATCTCCTCTGAAAGGAACGGAGAGGTAAACATCGTTCTTTCTTGCAGTCGGTATCGCGTTAATTTGATCAGAAACAGCGGAATGCTTCTTGCTAAACGTCGCGGGATACTCGTTGCTCTGCAGCGTCTTTTGAATAAACTCCAATTCCGCTTCTGACGTTTCTGGACTGCAAATTCTTGCGGCCCGATAGTGCAGACAACGCACGAGGTTTCTCTTGTACTTAATGGGTACAAAACTAAGAAAGTGCGTGTACTGACCAACCCAGATTGTCTTACGGAAGATTCTTCTCTCGAGTGAGCCATCGGTTCGACGTCGCAACAAAACATCCAAAAACGGAAGTTCACCGTCATTCTCCAGCTCGGAAGTGAATTTTACTGATGGATGTGCGTGGTTAAACTGGTCCAGTAACTGAGCGGGATCGATGTGGGAATCACACACGATGAACGTGTCATCCATATATCGCCGATAGAGATGAAGGGAATTGATATAGTGACGGATAGGGCCACGCTCGACTTCTGCGGGGAAGAAATCGGCAAGTAGCGGCCCTAATGGCGACCCCATTGCAACGCCATCTATTTGTCTATAGTACTTTCTGTCGAATAAGGACTGCTTGTTAAAGGTCCAGCGTAAAATTAGTTCTTTTGTCTTTCCTTTGACGTAGAATCTCTTTTCACAAATGTTCCTTTGCTTGAAACTGTGAACTTTATTTGCGATTACATAGCTGATAACAACATTGCCACTGAAATCCATGTGCAAAAGACAAAAGAACTAACTTTACGCTGGACCTTTAACAAGCAGTCCTTATTCGACAGAAAGTACTATAGACAAATAGATGGCGTTGCAATGGGGTCGCCATTAGGGCCGCTACTTGCCGATTTCTTCCCCGCAGAAGTCGAGCGTGGCCCTATCCGTCACTATATCAATTCCCTTCATCTCTATCGGCGATATATGGATGACACGTTCATCGTGTGTGATTCCCACATCGATCCCGCTCAGTTACTGGACCAGTTTAACCACGCACATCCATCAGTAAAATTCACTTCCGAGCTGGAGAATGACGGTGAACTTCCGTTTTTGGATGTTTTGTTGCGACGTCGAACCGATGGCTCACTCGAGAGAAGAATCTTCCGTAAGACAATCTGGGTTGGTCAGTACACGCACTTTCTTACTTTTGTACCCATTAAGTACAAGAGAAACCTCGTGCGTTGTCTGCACTATCGGGCCGCAAGAATTTGCAGTCCAGAAACGCTAGAAGCGGAATTGGAGTTTATTCAAAAGACGCTGCAGAGCAACGGGTATCCCGCGACGTTTATCAAAAAGCATTCCGCTGTTTCTGATCAAATTAACGCGATACCGACTGCAAGAAAGAACGATGTTTACCTCTCCGTTCCTTTCAGAGGAGATATCGCTGGCGGTGAGCAAAACATATCTGGCTGCTAAAGTTCATATATTTGCTGAAACTGTTCCGCTCATCACGCAACGCCTCAAAGATAGAATCCCGGCTCGTTTCGAATCTTTTGTTCTATATAACTTTACCTGCACCTTTGGTGCAAGGTACCTCGGGCATATGACCGGGCGTCTATTTAGGCGGATAGCGGAGCAATGCCCTGCGTCTTTGCAACAGGGTATGGTTAAGAATGTCCGCAGCTCGATCCTCGAACATCTGCTTAATACTGACCATCAGATTCAGACTAATGACGCATTCAAGATATTCTACACGGCACCGAGGCGCTACCCTAAAGGAATCAGAAAGCGCTTGTTGGCCACCGCTGAAGCCATTGCAATCAGAATACTTCAGCCGGATTTGTGCAAGCAGAGAACACTGATACAATCTATACTGTTGCCGTGGCCGTAATGTCGGATCGCGGTTACGACTGAGAGTGATCATTGTAGACCTGCCATCCCACGCGTCTGTGCTTTGTGTGTGTGCGTCTCCGCGTGTGCTCACGCGACTCATGACGTCTGACTGTATCGAGTGGACTATTGATCGACCTCGTTCAACCAATCACCTCCCCAGCGTTCGCTTACCTGCACGTTTAGCAATACTTTTCGCAACAGTACTGAGGGGGAAAATGTTAAATTTCG